AGCTTTGAGGCAAAATAAGTCCTCCAGGGTCCACGGTCACCAGGATGGATGGACTGGAACCGATACCAGGATGGAGGCTACCAGTGCAACTGGTATCTAAGCTACCAGCAGTTTGGGGTGTTAGCAGCAGAGTGGCAGCACAAAAACCTGGGCCAAAAAACCATTCTTAGGCAGACCCCTGTTTCAGATCTCAATGCTCCAAGTCCCAGCACCGAGGAGGAAGGAGTCTGGCTGCGTCAATGTCGGGGTCAAGAGCCTCACAATGCTCCTGCTCGCCTGTGGCACTGAGGAACCTGCTCTGTGGGCTGAGGCACTCCACGTCTTGGGGGAAGCCAGCATGGACCCGGGAAATGCTTCTTATAAACAGCTTTTCCCTTGAAATCTTTGGTTGTGGTCTTGCCCAAGGCCATCTTCTCTGATGCACGTGACAGACCCATTTGGGAAAGCCATCCCAGCCTTAAGCTTTCTAGAGATCCATGGGCAGGTCTTGCGTGTTGCCTCTGACATTGGAAAGCCCACAGATTTTATCATGTGTTTGTATGTGGGGTCCTCCTGGATGTGGAAAGCAACCAACGCTGAAATCAAAGCTCTTCTTGGCATATGGGAAATACTCTCCAACCCACACTTAGCAGGAATAGCTCTGTCACAGGAGTAAATATTTAAAGCTTGGAGTTTTGGTGAATGCCACTGCAGGCACAAGAAAGCTTAAATGTTTTTAGAACAGAGACCAGTAATTGAGTAACCAGCACTTGTCCCTGAACAAGAACACTGCAGCAGGGAACAGACAGAAACAATGCTGCCTAGGCTAACTGTAAAGGATATTTATTGAAAGAACTTGAGAAAAAGCAACTTCAAAAGGGTTTTGAAAGAGAGCCTGTAAGCACAGCAGAACTACTCCACTGAGAGCGACAAGGCTGTGGAGGCACCGAGCATCCTGCCCATCCACACGCACCTGAGCAAGGCCATGGCTGCTTGCTGGCACGGCCGTGAAGGGCTGGGGCAGGCGGCCTGAGGTGCAGTGCAATGGCAGAGCACACAGGAGCTGCATGAGCCCCACAGGAACTCCTTTGAGAAAGGAAGGAGAGCTCAGACAGAAAGTGATTCCAAAAGCAGAATTAAAACTATATTTTTTCTCCTAGATACAGCTGCCAAACTTAAAGCTCAAACAGAACACCAAGCAGGAAAGACAAACTAGGAGTCGTTGGGGGATAATTAGCATGTAACTGCACCATGTTTCAAGTCCTTAGCGTAAGACTGCTGCGGTGTGACACTGCTCAGGCAGTGCTGCCGCCTGCCTTCCTGCTGCCCGGGAGCCGGGGCCCAGCATTTCACAGTGCGGGTGAGGGAGGCCCCATGGCCTGTGCAGCTGACCAGCAGCGACTCAGCAAATTGTCCCATGGGCTTGCGCTATGGTCTGTAGTTTGTGCCTTGCCAGCTTTTCTCTGAGCTGCGCGCTGTTCCTAGTTATAGAAGTCGCACAGGACTTCCTCTCCCTCCCTGTAACCTATAAACCCCGACACACGTTCCTCTCGACACATCTCAGCGTGCGATGGAGACATCAGGCATGTGAACACTGATCTTTCTCTTGGGGAGTTCAGTCAGCATGTCCTAAAATCATCCCTTCTCAAAGCCAAACCACACACTGGGGCCGGTCCACATCCCTCAGGGCAGCAGAACAAGCCAGCAGTGCCTGCTTCCTCCGTGCAGCACAAAACGTTTTGAACTGAAGGCACCGGGGGCTCTTACCTGAGCGCTTAGTGGCCATTGGGGTGACATTTGTCCAGTGTCCAGTGTGGGGATCATACCTCTCTACAGAGTTCAGTATGTTCAGCCCATCGTAGCCACCTGAAACAAAATCCAGGACCAAACCATGGGTCTGACTTCTGGAAAATGCGGTTCTGTGTAGAGAGCAATAACATGCCTGGCTCATCCTCGGTACAGTGTCGCGCTGCAATCAGCACAACCCGCAACACGCTGGGGCTGGCAGAACAAAGAGGATCTCTGCAGCTTGCAGTGCCGAACCAGAGCCAGCTCAGAGCGAGATCCACCCCTGTACCGCACAGGCTGTGTGGGGAGAGAGCATCACCTCTAACAACCAGTACAACCAGGTCAGCACCGCCCTTCCCCTGAGCGTGCCGATGGCAGCGCTGATGCTGTCCTGCCAAAGCAGTCATACAGCTTCCAGACCTGGCGCTGGCTCAGGGTCTGTGCGCTGCAGCCCGCAGCCGCCAGCTGACGCTGTGAGGCTACGCAGAGTGTGGTCTGGGATGTCTCAAAGAGCTGTTTTGCAAGAGGATACCAAGAGATCTCCTCGTGCAGCTGCAGCAAAGGAGCAGCCTGCTGGCATCTGCCTCAGGGGACAGCATGAGGAAGAGGCATTTGGGAGAGGGAAGTGAAACCCATACACCAGTGTCCAGTATCTGTGACTCCCCAGGAACAGGACTGCAACAAATGTGTGCAGAGTGCTGGGCCTGCCTTTTCTGGGGCCAGAATGTGTATCTGCAGAACAAGCTTACTGAAGTCTTCAGAGTGATTTGCCCTCTAGCACTCTCACCGTATTCACAGCTGGCACGGGTCTCCGAAAATTAAACGAGAGCTATGGAAAGGAGCTGGATACAGCTCAGGATACATTTCTGGAGCACTACAGCCAACATCGCTTTGTGTGGAGGAGATGCAGCCGCTGTCCTGTGGCTACCTGTTTCATCTCTAGGGCATCTTAGCCACTGCCTAGTCCCTGCAATCCTCAGCTGGCACTGCTCGTCCCCTGCGCTTCAGCTGTCCGTCAAATGTAGGCTGATTGCGTCCAGCTTGCTTCTAACAACATCCACTGGAGTTATGTGGCAGCTCCAGTCCAAGCCATTGCGATAGCAGTGGTGAGAGCAGGTGTTGTGCAGTGCCCCGTGCGGTGAAGTTAAATCTTTTAACCTGGACACGACGTAACTGGTTCTCCCCACAGACAGCATTTGCAACATAATTTCCGGAAAAAGCAAGTATTTGCAGAATGCCTACAGGTCCTAGGGTACGTACCGAGGCAGTAGATGACTCCGTTAGCCACAACCAGCCCTGCTCCTTCCCGTGCTGTCTGCATGTCTCCTAGCATACTCCACTGATCAATGTTCGGGTCGTATCGCTCCATACTGGTGTGACGTCGGCTTCCATCAAACCCACCGGAAACGTAGATCATGTCTGCAACGTTACACAGAAGTTGGATGCAGTGAGTTATCAAGCCTGTACACGGAGCAAGAATGAGCACGGCCCTCACAGATGGAGCAAGCCAACAACACGGACTGCAAACTGCAGGAATGACGACAGATCTTGGCATATTCGGAGCCAAGACAAACCCTCACCCCAGCTCACTGCATTAGCCTGCTCACTAAACAAACAGAAAACCCATCTGGTCTGTAAATCTGCTTCTTGCTGACGGATGAAAGAGAACACACACCCCCCCAGTTCTTTTTTTCATGCTGAAGAAAGAACCTACTGAAACACTGCTGCGCCCAAACCCCGCCTGTCACTAGCACCATGGCAGCACCTCCCCAGAGTAAATGCTTACAGGGTGGCAGACACACAGGCAGCAAAAGGAAAGAAGATCCAAAAGTCTGGATCATCAAGATCAGCCCTTAAACCTAAGTCATGCAATGCTTTCAGAAATCTGTCAAGGGTCACCTTCAAAGCAGCTACATTTTGAACAGAATTTTCATTAGGATAGATTATTATCAATCTAATATTTAATAAAGAATAATCAACCAATTTAACCAAGTTAACTAGAAAACTTCCTCTTATTTCCACACCAACAACTTTTCCCTTGCCTGTTTATAACTATTTGTTCTTATTCAATTCTTATACTGCCCATTTCCTTCTCCAAGTTATACTCGCAGAGAACAATCACATCCCCTCTTGGGCTTTGCTCTGCCAGCATAAGCAAACTGAAGCATTCTGTTTTGCTCAGTAGTTTTCTTCTTCCAAGCCTGTCCCAAGAATCCTTCTCTGTGCATGTTCCCGTTTCAGCCTCTCTCCAGCGCCGGGTGGTTATTGCTGTACTCGGTGTCCTGTGCTCAGTCATACGCGACACTGGCACCACCCTGAGAGCTTCCCACTCCACAATCCCTCATAGAGTTCCTTTCCCTTGATGCACAGGCACATGCTGTAAGAATGAAGCGGAGGCAGAGCTCCTCTCAGGATACGTGGGCACGTTTTCCATTTCTACATCCAAATGCTGAGAAGACAGAATTTCAGACTCACCTCCTCCCTCAGAGCCATCCCACTCTGCACATACCAGCTCCGGGTGTTTCAGGACGAGAACAGAACAGGCTCCAGTGCCCTGGCAGTGCAGTGACCAGCACGTACCTCCAAGGGTCGTGGCTCCCGCCAGGCCTCGCCGTACGTTCATCGGAGCCACGGAGTACCAGATACCATCCTCATCTGATGTATAATCCAAGCACTCCACCGAGCTGAGACGAGAGCGACCATCGTACCCCCCAATCACATAGATCCGATCATGCAGGGACACGGTCGCAACGTAGCGCCTCTTACGGGTGATGCTCTAAAACAGTGAAAAGAATAAAAAGGTCAAGGAGAGGAAATAACACTGATGCATGGAGACCAACCACTGCTCTTCCAGCCTCTTTTGCTGCTCTTTTGGAAAACGGCCACTACCACTATGGATTTAAAGGATACAGCCCTGGATAAAATGCTTACTGACTGCATCTGCTTTCCTCTGCCTGTGCTCTGTCTCTGCCATGCTTTCTTCTCATGGCCAGGTCTCTTGGCACTAAAATATTTTGCATTAAATGTCATTTATTTTAAGCCACTATTGAATCTTTGATGTGTCTTGGAGGTTTGTGTGCCTCCTGCTGGCTCCCTGCAGAGACTCTTAATGAGAAAATGTGAAAACTCAGAATATTTGATGTAAATATCTGAAGCTTTTAGACTCCAAAAAAGAACTGAATTTGGGGACAACAGGTGATACAGGGTTTTCTGCGATTAGCAATACTAAAAAAGAGGCAGTTCTCCACCATTTCACACAGATAAAGGTGATTTTAAATTTGGATAGAAATAGTCATCAGTGCAGAGAATCAGAGTTCCCTCTTCCTTATTGTCGCCTGTTATGCTCAGAAAGAATGAAACCAGAGAGACCATGCAGCCTGCCTGAAAGCAGGACTGATGATACTCTTCCTATTGACATTTCAATTACCATCAGTAACCTTAAAGCTTAACACCCCTTCAGTAAGAAACACGAGGCTCTCACTCCCACAACAGAGATGTGGGTCTCTGTAGGCTCATCTGATTAGAACTATGACAACCACCTCATGTATTACACAAGGCTTACTTAGCAAATCTGCAAATGCAAAGCAGTTTCAGCATTCGCTATGTAAACCTCCGCAACTCTGAAGAATTTATGGCAGAAATTCTACGCAGAACACAAAGGATGGCCAAAGAGGAATGTTACAGAGCTGATGCTACAGGGTCAGTGTTTGATCCCAGCCTGTTCAACCCAGCGGTGGTCAAAAGTGGTCCTTTACTGGCAAGAAACTCCACTCCTGAGTCTTTGGGTCGTATTTCTCCACAACATCAATAGGTGACTGCTGGCTGCCGAAGCCGCCGATCACGAGCAGGACTTCATTAGCTCCTAGAGCAAAGAGGGAGAGCAAAGTCAAGTCAATCCCTTCACAACCACAGGGTCACCTCGAGGGGGTCACCTGAAGAAACGCTGAGCCTTCCTAGCATTACAGGCACTTTGAGAAGACAAGCTGGCTAAGTTAGGTGCTGTAGTTGGCTCATTTGTATTTTCTTTTGTATTCTTCCCATTATTTTTTTCGAAACCTCTTCCCACCCCATGAAAGCTGAAGGAGGATGGCTGCGTCCCTGCAGCCTCCTCACAAACCAAGGCCTCCCCTCCTTGATTGCAAGTGACATCCAGACCAGATGGCACCTTCGTTCACCACTTCATTAAGAAACAAGTCAGGCTGACTGAAGCCTGAAAAATTAATTAAATATTTTCCCAGGAATTGTCTCTTAAGTCATGTATTTCATTTCAAATTTGCCTTCTGTCTACTTTCTTTTCTCTGAGATAGTCCCTGTATTTTTCTTGTTTTCTCCGTGACTGTTAAATAACACTTGTGACCTGGAGAGTTTTGACTCCCCTTGTAATGACGGTCTTGAAGGTAGGCTTCTATCATAGTTTTAAAAACAGATGAGCATCCCCTGGATCCCTTGGGCCCTTTCTGTAACAGGGGGTTTTACTAGAGTTTAGAACCATCCAGTTTTTCACTGCAGAAGGACTGAACACCAAGCAACAAAGATTTAAAAAGACCCTGTTTGTCACAAAGCAGAACAGCTGCCACCTCAGATGAAGGAGAATAATATGAAAATTAACTGGTTAGGATTCACAAAAGAGCTCCAACAGCCACTTGGAAAGCCTCCTGTCCAGTAGAACAGCTAGAATTACAATAATTTCAGTTTATCCCAGAGAAAGTTAATACACAACTTTATCATAGTTTATAAGTGACACATGGTAAGAGCATTGCTGACAGCAGATGGTATTAAATAGGGTTGAATCCAGATGAGCCCTAGCAATGAGGTGCACCATTTTTACCTGTACAATTAAACAATAAAACAGTTTTGTGATGTCTCCGTTATGCTTTTGTGATGAAGCATTTCAATTAAGAACAAAATGAAATGTGTCTTCCTAAAATGACAGGTGGAGTTGAACTGCATGTCACCGAAACCAATGCAGGATGTTCCCACAAAAACAGGAGACGTGCTGTGGCCTGGGCTGTGCTGGAGCTCAAACCACAGCACAATACTCCCCTGAGGCCAAAAAAGTTTAATCAACGCGTCTCTCTGACAAACCTAATTTGCCCTCCTCCTTTAGTGCTTAAACTGCTTTCTGGCCCCTAAGCCGGTGTTAACAACAGGCAATGGCCACGAAGGGTTTTTAGGGTCCCTGCCTGCTGCACAAGCAGCAGCACTGGAGCAGGCATAGGGAGGTTTGCCTGCAGGAAAGTCAATGCTGGCACGAACAACAGTGCCCTGCCAGGATAAAGGCATGGCAGAGACGGTCCTGAGAGAGTGAGTCTGAAGATAAGAGAAGGGGTGACAGGTGAGGAACAGCCACAGTGATAAAGAAGCCAGTAAAATACTTTTCCTTCTTCTGTAGGTCATTGCTGCTGTTTATGCTGCTCTCATGTGCTTATACCACTAAGCCAAGCATTTTCCCAACAATTCAGTGACCGTGCTTGGTAGGAATTACTGAAATAGAGGAAGAAATCACAATTTTTTTGCCTTAACAAGACTAGGGGGAAAAAAAATACCTCTGAAAGGAAAGAGGGACCTCTCCATCTCCCTCCTTGTGCCTTCCCATCAGATTCCCTGTTGAAAACTTATTTTCACTCTAACACAGTTGTCTGCGAGCTGTCACCTCGCAGCTCTTGTTGTTCTTGACACCGGTACCTGCCTTTTTAGACAGGAAAGAAACTCCTCTCGCACTTCTTGGACAGCTGCATGCTGAGACACACATATCTGGAGGCACCAACAACTCAGGAAACTGGTTTTATGGTTAGAGCAGAGGCCTGGGATTAAAGGCAACCATCTAGTCCCCGCATTGCCACTAAGGCATTGTGCTCTGAAAAAAATGTCCCTCTGTCTTTTGCTCCAGTCCCCTTTCTGCACCACTGGGGACTGTGGATTGACAAGTTACTGCTGCGAAGCACTTCAGTCCAATTCCAAGGGACTAGCCACAGTGTATAATACAAACCTGCCAACATCCCAGACCTTTGCAGTGTCCCTTCCTTTGCTGCTCACCTAGACGTGCTCTTGTCCTGGGTCCTTGCATCTGACTCCTCAGCTCAGGCCGAAGATGAAATTTCTTCGCTTCATCTACGAGGTCTCTGCACTGCAGACTGCATCGTATAAAAGGCTGAGGAAAAACATGAATCATGGGTACATGCAATGTATTTTAAGATCCCTCCTAACAACTGTCCTGAAGCCAACTCTCGTCAATTCAGGCAGCACTAAAATGACTTGTGTGCAGGCTGTTGCTAGTAGTGTCACGGGGCAAATACTGCATGCAAGGAAATGCAAAGACAACTTCAGACTGGACTGCAGCTGAAAAGACACGGCTCAGTTCTCACCCAAAGTCTGTCACTGTAATGAAAATAACTATCTTGGAAAACTAAGGAAAAGCTACTTCTGCTACATTTAAGCCAGCAGAAGTATGTCTGAGAAGGGGGACTGGCGGTGAAACTACACTTGAAATCAGTTTGGCTGGGTCTGCCCCACACAATCGACTCTCAGCATGCACCTGCCATCAAAGAAGAAACAAGGAGAAACAGCACAGTGAAGCGGTTTCGCTGGATCTATTAGCTTGAGACCTGTGCACAAGGGACACAGAGCTATGAAGAGACAGGAGAAGCAGTAAGCTTTGCTGTAAAAGAAGCGGGGGGCACCGCAACCCAAGGACAGCCTCATCTCCTTGCATAATGCTGTGTAATTCCCCTCCCTGGCTGCGGGCCTGGACCAGTTTCCCCTGAATGTTCAGTGTTCAGTTCCCTTTGGGCGTTTGGTGCTATGTGCCGCTGCAATAAGATGTATTTTTACAAGTTCTTGGTGCTTGTGCAAGAAGGGCAGGGTGTTCCGAGCAGATGCTGCCACACAGGACCAACACTCTGCTCTCCATGCTGGCCAGAGATGATGATGTCCCACTAGCGTGTGTCACTTCCAGACTGCAGAGCCCATCCTGTGCAGTAAGAAAGCTGAAGGCCAGTATAACACACTACCTTAGGCTGGTTTTGGAACAGATCTGATTGTTTTGGTACCAGTTCCTTTGCAAGAGCTTCAATTCCAGTTTATATTGGACCACAACAATCTGACTGAACACATTTGAGCTCTGTCACGATTTAACTGCTTGTTAGCTGCCCTTGTTTAAGAACATCTGTAAAAGGCAGCACCTATCAGGTGACAAGGGCTGGTAGCTGCTGACTGCCTCACACACCATCAAACCCAAACGCTGGTTTGAACTTCTCTGTCCCCTCCTGTCAAACCTTGCATCGCTTCCTGTTTGGAAATAAACTTCCATTGCAAAAGCTTAGCTACCTCTTATCATCATCCCCATTTTGGTTTGCTTCTGCAACACGCCAGCTACAAAAAGCAGCAGCATTAGATATGGTTCCGACTTGTGTGTTGGTCCTGGACCTACACAGCTGGTGTCCTTCTCATTCAAAGGTACCTCTTGCCATCTGCACCTGAACTGATTTCTGAGCAGCCATTTCCTCCCTAGGATGGCACACCAGCAGCCTGCAGCCTAGAGGAGACCTGCGAGCGCTTAGGAACGGAAGGCAGGAAGCACTGGTTAGAAACCACAACAGATTAAATCAGAAAGGTGCTACCTATAACGGGAGACAACTGACCAATTGCCCTGGATGCTCTGGCTCTTTTCAGCCCTCCCAGCTGAAAACCATGAAGCTGTAACAGCTGGCACAGCAAACTATGTCTGAGTAAATCACTGGCTCTCAGCTGTGCTGTGTCCATGCACCCAGGCTGCCGGTACCTCGGTGTCGATGACGTCTGTGATGTAGCGGGGGGTGAGGAGCGGCATGCGCACGTACTGCAGCAGTTCAGGCAGCGATGCTTCCCGTTCTTTTTTCGAGTGCTTCACCCAGTTTATAACTGCCTCAAAAACTGGCTCTTCAGAGTCCACCTGGAAAGAGGAGGCACACACTGATGAGACTGCAGGATAATATTTCAGCTACTGCCATGGAACAGACCACTTCCAGGCTGCTGACACCAGCAAGAGCACTGCTGCAGCTAGCAAGAGAGCAGGACGTTTCAAGTAAGAGTCTGTTCTGGAAATTCCCATGAGCTGTATTTACAAGCACTATGAAATTTTTTATTTTATTTTATTTTCCTTAACACTGCATTTGTTTTTTCCTTACATCTAAGATCAACAAGTCCCAGCGAGCTAAGGGTTATCGTACGCAGCTAAGCCAGAAGCTGGGAGCCACCACTTTGGAGAGAGCCCGGGACAGGCAGTAACTCGCCAGGCAGCTGCCCCAGCTTCTTAGTGGAGCAGGAGTAACGGTCATCCAAAATCCAAAGTGCCATCATAAAGATGATCAGAACCACGTTTCTGGAGCAGTGTCTCACTTAACCCCCTGCAGCCCAGTGCCCACGCACTGCCCCTTTAACACCCAAGCCATACCCTGTACATTTAAGGTTTTATTTCAACCCACAGTTAAGAAACTGGATTTCCAAGTGGAGAACCTCAGGGGTGTGAATGCTACTGCTCTGACTAGTTTATTTCTCCACTAGGACCAGCACATGCTGGTGCTTACACTACTTCCAGCGATTACCCTGACTAAACCATCTAAATTTGATACTTTCAGAGGGCCTCAGGTGTTTTAGACAGCTTTACAAATACAGCAGCTCCAGTGCTCACTAAGCACAGCCACGTGAATTCATCTGTGATTACCGAAAGTGAAAGAATTGTAAAAAGCCCTATTTTATATTATTTAGTCTTGGTTTTCTTTTTGCACGTCTTCAGATCATCCAACACAAAAGCAAATCAGACATGAATTTATTATCATGAGGTCTGTTAACTGTTGTTAAATATGAAGATAAAAGGAGATCCTGTAATTATACGATTGAGTGTCCCCACCAATCTATGACTGGCACACTTTGAAGTTCAGTTTGAAGCTGTCTCTTGCAGAATGTTCTCAAGCAGGGAGCCACAGAGGTTAATTACGTAAGGCAATTTTTCCAAGCCATTGATTTATATTTGCTACAGTGTAATTTGAACTGTTCTCTTTCTATTTGAATTACTGGGAAAGGACAATTGGAGCTCACAAAAGGAGAGCAGAGTACTTTATTGTTCCTAATTTTCCCCACCTCCTCCTTAAATGCAATAATCTCCCATCATTTTATTCCATCCTGAACTGCCTGTCCTCTGTCCTATTTAACAGTTTCGTTGTTCATTAAATCATTTCTGTTTTCTGATAAATGATGAGTAACACTGAACACAGCATCACAGTGAGGACCTGCCATTCCACTTCTCCAACAGCCAGGGGATTTTCCGAGGGTTCTTCCTCCATGCCCTCTGATGCAGCACATCACTGCTGCACTGGCACACCAACAGTGCCATTTGCTCCGTGCACCTTCCTAAGGTATTACAATGAACGCACACCTCACCGTGTGCGCGCGAGGCCTGAATGGGTCCTCCCAATCCACGAGGAATTTTACTTTGCCTGTGCAGATCATCCGATTAGTTTGGTTCTGTCGTTCTCAAGTTCCTCACTAGTTCCTCTTCCCTGTCCAGAAGCATTATGTCAGTGGTCACCACAACCCACATAAGCTCAAACCTCACAGCATTAAACCTGTGGCTTGCTAACCACTAAACGCACTCAGCCTTTCTCCACTGCTGATCTCAGCCTGGGCCAGGGTCTTTTGCCGCTATCTCGCAGGCTCTTTCTCAAGCAGGCTCATTAACAAGAGGATGCTGGCTTGGCTGAAGGCCACTTTCAAGGCATACATGAAGAGCTCTCCTCTGGCTACCCCGGTACTGGCTCTTCAGGAATTCCAGCAGAGATATCACTTCCATTGGTTTGCTTCTAAGAGTTCATGTTACTGCGAACTCTGAATAGTGACTGCTTCAATCACTTCTTTAAGAACTGAAGCAAACATCAACTCTCAATGAAGTCCACCTCAATAAAAAAACCACAAGTCCCTTCCCCATTACCAAGGAATGTTTAACTTATTTCAATTCCCAAGAACACACATATCCATAGAAAATTTGGAAAAAAGTATATGGCAGGTTCCAGACAAATAGTAAATCCTCCAGAAACCAACCTTAAGGGAACAAAAGCTGCACACAACTCCCTGAAGAGTCAGACTACCCTGCACTGTCATGCATTCTGCTGCTTGTGAAAGCAGAGGATGCCCAAATGCCTGGGATGGCACATGCATTCCTTGTGCTGCTCAGCAGTATGCAAAGGTCTACAAATAGAAGTTAAAGTCTTGGGGGTATTTTTGAAATGTAGGCATTGAGACAACTTGTCTTTGTAACCTCTGAAAGCTCCTCCAGGGAAAGGAGGAGACGAGGGAAAAAGAACTCTGCAGAGGTAACTAACTGTCATTGCCTTACTTGCAGGAAATGCCTGTGTGACAACAAATTCTTACACAGAAGCTGCATGTTACTGATCAGTTTCAGATTATGTAGCTAAAAAATTAGAAGAAGCTTCTTGGAAATTAAATTTCAAATTCAGGAACTGTGTGAGAAGTCCATCCTAGAAGTACAGACTAATTTCTGACTGGTTTGAATGTTTTAATTCAATGGTTTGCACAGTAACGGTACTTTTCAGGTTTTACCTGAATTTCGTCACATTTGATGAGCTTTTCAACCTCTTCTTGATTTAAGAGGATAAACTCTTCATGCTGAACCACCTCTGGAAAATGTTTCTGGCTGAAGACCTCTGCAGCTTGCATTAGATCAACACAATTGTGTGTCTCAGCAAAATCCCGAATGCCCAAACAATTTGATGGATCCAGCTGGCTTTCTAGAAACTCACAGCAAGCTTGTTTCACACCTACGAAAAATTGGAGGGGTGAATGAGCACTGCATGCTTACTATCAATCCACTGCTTTGGAAAGGGCTTCAGAAAAGAAAGTTCTAAACAGTAATGAAAATCCAACTCAAATAACAAGCTTAAAAACACTACAGAAACACACACATGCAAATATTTCTTTGGAGGGATGTGAAAACACTAAGCAGTAGAACATGTGTTTGGGCTGTTTTGATCTCAGGCTACTCTATTTAAATTCAAAAAGTAAATAAATCTGATAATAGGAAAAGACTCAAATGTGAGTTGTACTCAGCTTCATGGATTATAAACAAAAAATGTATATGCCAGTGGATATGGCTACCAGATTTCTAGGTTTTCTCCAATGCCTTTTTGACAGCTGCCTGGGATTTGGGATAATTGCCTGGGCTGGCTCCACAGGTGCACATGCAACGACATCTACCAATTTGTTAACAACCCAGACATACCATGATGGCAGGTCAAATGATATCAAGGATTTGCTTATTATTGTAAGTTGACTGAGCTGTAAAATTTACATGCTATACAGCTCACAATTCCTCCTGGGAATTCTCATGCAGAAATACAGTAGCCCAAAGCATGGAACAATAACCTGTTTTATCATCTTTTTTTCCACCCAAGTCAGTTCCTCTACCAAAGAGGCCAGAGCGCAAAAGCCAACAGAAGTTTGACATAAATACTCATAAATATTATGCCTCCCACAATCTGTCTTCCATTTACAGAAAGTCAGACAAACCAAATCTCTCAACAGCAGCAATTGTGCAATTTGTGCTGATACTTGGCAATTACCTTTCAGCTGAAGCAGACATGCCGCTGGGAGCAATTCCTGGACGTTTTCTACTGTCACGTGAACAGTTTCTGTATATACAAAGTCCAGTAGGATTTCCATGGTGGAGGCTGTCAGGCCCTGGATATCTACATAGGGTTTATCTTTCTCCGAGAGCTGTAAGTTAGAAGGGACACAAAGGTTTATTTGTCAGTAATGTGATCAAAAAGCCAGCAGCACTCAGCAGGTTTTTAAAATGGGATCTGTCAGAGAGGTTTCAACAGAGATTTTTTGTGTTTATTGAAAGAATAAAGGGAAGGAGGGAATTTCTCTACAGAATTCACTTACAGGGTAAGTAAAAGAGACAAAGTTCATTATAGATCGGGAGGACAGCTAAACCACATTCTAAAATGAGCACGCTGAGATTAGAGATAGTAGGAATTACTTGCAGCATTTGTGCAAGACTACTAAACGCTCTCCCATGCAGTAACTTTACTACAAAGAGCAGTCCAGGGCTGGATGCGCGTGACACGCTGTAGTTATCACAGAGTCCCCACCTCACCACTCCACTCTAAAAGCAAACCAAATAAAAATCTTTCCTAGCTCTTCAATTCCTGATCCATTCTGCTAGCTTATGGCAAAAGTCCCTAAAAAGAATGACTTTATAGGCCAGAAAGTTCAGAGTTATAAATGTTAAATGTAGGTTTATCTGAAACATTTAGTTGTACATAGAGTGACGGTACTTACATAATCCTGACTGTGTCCCCTGACCATTTTATCACCTCTAAGATACATCATTTTGGAATAATTATTTTTTCCAAGGAACGTTACCCTCTCAACAGTCAGTCTTTAGGAACAGGAAATTCTGCAAATCCACCAAAATTGCACCTCTATAGGTGCAAAACTGAGATGGTATTTCACAAAGTTTAAAGCATCCATCACAAAGCTGCTGGCCCAGCAGCTGATGATTCCTGAGCAATGGGCTAGCAGGAGGACTCACTAACCCCACTCTGCACACTGCTGCTCGCTCTTGTCAGCATGAAGGGGCCTCAACAGAAGGACATCTCCATGCAGCACGCTGCAAACCCAACCTTTTCCCTCCCATGACTTCCGAAGAAGCAGTCAGCATCAGTGCAAACACAATTCGGATGACAGCCTATGACTTTCCTTGCCAAGAATGAGACTGAAGTTGGTTACAGACAGATTGAGCAGAGACTCGGTGAACAGCAACTACGATCAAAGCATGATCGCTTTGCTTTGAATCTGCCACAGTTGGGGAAAAGGGAGATGATACGGCAGCAGAGAAAATAAGAGCAGTCAAGGATATTCCTACAGAGGCATTCAATGACACAGCAGCAGAAGGGAAGAAATAACAAGTGATAGGATAAGAGGAAACAGCCTCAAGTTGTGCCAGGGGAGGTTTAGGCTGGCTATTAGAAAAAAATTTCTTCACTGCAAGAGTGCTGAGGCATTGGAACAGGCTGCCCAGGGCAGTGGTGGAGTCACCATCCCTGGAGGGGGTCAAGAAACGAGTCGATGTGGTGCTGGGGGACATGGGTTAGTGGGTTGGGTGGTGCTGGGTTGGACTTGCTGATCCTTGAGGTCTTTTCCAACCTTAATGATTCTATGAAATGTCTCTGCTAAGACCGAGCCACTTCTGTGATGCAGAGAGATACACTTCACAGGGGAGAAGAGAGACACGGGAGGTTATGGCGATACTCAAAGTAATTTGAGGGAAGAGGTCTTTCAAGTCTGTTGACAGAGTGAACACTCTTTATGGCATCCAGAGCCAGAAAGGAAGAGCAAATTACCTTGTCTGACCTGCTGTATGACAGGCCATGCCTTGCATTTAGAAGCTACAATGAGTTCCTACCCCAGGCCAGACAAAACATTCCCAAAACAAGACTAAGCTGTTTGGTACAACAGATCAAGGACATAGATGCCACCAAAGTCAGAACTGATCAAACATATGATTTCAACAAGCCAATGGAGATTCAGACCATACACAGAAGAGGATAAGAAGTTGTGAACATCTATTGTCAGGGGCACTGGACCTCCTGGTAAAGGATGACACTGCCTCAGGCAGAAGCTGCAGACATCTGTTCTCTGCAGATCAGCCTGGAGCTGGTCAAGAAGGTCCTGTCCCCACAACCAATATTCAGTAATCAGCCATGCACATATTCTCTTTATACTGTTGACCAAAACACAAACGATGGGGCCAACACTAACACTATGGAGATGATCACCTCCAGCTCCCCTTGTCCTTCTGCTATGCTCCACTACTTGGTTGTTAGTTGACTCACAGTTTACTCACATGCTACGCTTGCTTGGAAGGAAGAAAATATTTCAAGTAACTTCACACAATGCAAGATAACTTGGGATTCCAGCATCACACCTTAAAGAAGGTGGAGACAACTTGATTCTGAACATCGCATGACGACTCGGAGCTGTAGCTCCAGGCTGCATACGCAGTGCTACAGAACTGCATGCAGCGCTCAGGGCTGCGCTGCGGGGATGGACAGAGCCCCTCTTTTATCAATACATCCACATATTGGGACTCAGAAGCAATGCAAAATTATGGTCATACAACGCTCATCAGAACACAGCACAAGCAGCTTGCCCTTCACAGGCGTTTAGTGGTACGAGACATATCTCCGCATCCTGCTGTTAGAATTTCGGGTTAGTTTCCCTCTTTCTTGTTTAATACCAGAGCTCTGCTAACCAGCAGGAAGTAAAGCAATAGGGGATTGATACTTCCTAATACAAGCACATTTCTAACACGTCATAAAAAGTATGCAGCAGAACAGATCCAGAAATCAACTGGAGCATCCAGGAAAACACATTCCCATAATTAAAGAGTCACCTGGAGACATCAGGAGTTTTACCCCAGGATGCCGACGTTGCTGAAAGCCCTAAGGCAGGGGCTGCAGCTCATAGCTCTGCTGTGAAACACAATGTTGCTGTCTCTCATTCCATCCATAAATCATGTAACTCACTCTGCAGGAGAACAGGTCTAAGATTTTGGAACCACTTTATTGTCCAAAGCCAGTTCTTGTTTTTGCCTTCACTACTGCAGATACACAAAAGTATATTGGAATAAACCCCTCCAATTTCTTGTCACCTATAGGGGAAAAGCTGGCATGACAGTGCTAATATGTGACTCACTGCACTCTGGAAGGCATTCACAGTACAGTGAAGATGGCCATGGAAGAACCTGTAACAGAAGCTGTATAGGTTCAGAATAAGAAAAATATTTATCCGTGTTCTAGGGGAAAAAACCCCTTCAATTTCTAGAACATACCCTCCAAGAGAAGACAGACTGCTTTCTTTCTGAGGTGGAGCCAATGATCTGCTCCTAACACATCCTGAGTTACTCTAACTTGTCCAAACAAAGACAGAAATGACAGTGCACAACTAGGATCCAGGGGACCATCTGCTGAAACTGCTCCTCAGTTTTCACTAGAAGGAAAAACCCTGTAAGTATAGCTGATGGGCGCTTCAGTTTTCCCACACTACTCAGCACAGAGGCAGAGAAAAGTGTTGTGAAAAGCCAGGGGTTCAACAGGTGATCAGTGGCTTCTCCTCCTTCTGGAAAATGGGAACAGAAAATGGGAAGAAATTAATACTAAGTAAGACTGAGAACTTTTTAAACTAAATGTTAAAGTCAGAAGTGAGAGAAGGGAGGAAACTAGAGACAGAGGGACTGGCAAACACAGTTCTTTGTGATGGTAATCTCTGACGGGAGTCTCAGCGCTACAGTGGCCAGGCACAGGTGTAACATCACAAACAACAGCAAGCACAACCAGGGGATCAGTTCTGAACAAAGCCTCGTGCAGCCCAAGTCTGACAAAGCCACACATTGCAGCTAGCCAAGCAGACCCCAAACTAGCAGGAAGGCAGCGATGAAAAGCAAAGGAAGCCCTCGCAGAGGCTGTCTGTCCATTATGCAATAAGGCACTTTGAGTTCCCTCAAGTTACAGCCATGGCCAAAACACTCTGTACCCACAAGTGTTTGGAGAGCGACCAACCGCAGCCCCATCACACTCACCAACATACTTGTCACTGACACCCAGAGGAAGCAGGTCCACTTTGAGGCTTCCCAGGCTGTCATCTCCTGGAAAGAACGCTCTCCCACAAACACTCAGTAACTGTGTGAGCCACTTGGCAGGTCTGTCGATTTGGGGTTTCCATATGAAAAAGCAAATTTGGAAGAAATAAAAAGCAGAAGAAGTAAAACCCTTAAAGCAGCGGCAATTTGGGAGCACGAGAGATCGAGCAATCATGCCCACTGGGCACTAGACACACTTCTTTTTCTAGGAAGAATTACATCTATGAATTAAGGTCATCATAATGTTACAGTTAAAAGGAGAGTATAAAGAAGGAAGGAGAGACAATCTCAGCTTAGATCCAAAGTATACCCATCCTCAGCCTTTGTTAGCAGCCACAAAGAACGTGGTCTGTACACTGCCTAGACAAAGGCCAGGAAGTCAAAAGCAGTGACAGGAACTAGCGGCAAACACAAAGAAGCAGAGACAGTCTGCTACACTGCTGAGCACCTTGAAGGTATTGGTAAAGAGAAAACATCAGCCTCCAGGGACGGAATTTGCTTTGTGTATTTTTTTTTTTTTTGGAATTATGTTTCCTTTATGCAGAGAAAGAGCATGAACCTGTCAAATCGACAAATTTCATGAAGACATGGACAGAAAATACATTGGTATGTGGCCAGTCCACATATGTCTTTTTTTGATGGCTTTGCAAAGGACGATAAAAACTAAGACACCTGCTCACCCGACACAGCACTGAAAGAAGCACACACACGGATAGCTCTGCCAGTAGTGTTCATCGCTGGATAAAACAAAGAAGAAAATAATTCTGTCCTGCAAGGACTACTGGGCTAGCAGGGAGGTCTTTAGGACCTTTAAGCTACTTAGTAATTTTTCTCCCTGCTAACGGGAAGTTGCTATGATAAGGAAAGCATCTTCTGTAAGAAAAAGCCACAAAGATTCGCTCAAACTTATAAAAGACAAAACCAGGCAAAGCATCTCGTATTTAACAACACGAATGAGTGCTCCTTCAGCTCACGTATTACCTTCCAGTGATTCAGAGAAACAGCCTGCAGACAGTGCGAGTCAGTTCTGGACATCCTGTGAGATCAAAGGTCCTCACAAGCGAGATGT